ACCACGAGCAATGCCAATGTCATTACTTCAAAGGTTTATGTGAATATCAAGTCCTAACTCAATTCGATACAACATAAATGTCACACCCCACCATTAGAGATTTACAATATTTAACACCACTAACTTTTGTTCATAACATGGATAAGCTCATGCCACTCTTTTTGACCAAACTCAAAACTAATCGAACACCAAATTACTTAAAGAGCAATAGCAAGGTTCTCCAAAAAAGAATTGAGCATTATAACTCAAGTCTTCAATAGCAAGCCTAGACAAAATAGTATAGTGCTTCACCGCTATCCATCCCATGACTCACCACTTGTAAGACCATCATAATCAACAAGCATCAAGATAGGGACTCTTGATTGCATGATGTGAACACGAGCAATGAGTCACACCTTGTTGTGAATCATCTCTCCAAGAAAAGCAGATGATTTACATGTTTGATCTTTCATCCTTGATGACTCTTTTTTCAGTCTTAACATTGATTTAACCTCAAGTTTGTTTTCACACTACCTTCAGTTCAATCCAAAGAAAGTTTATGAGAGAGCACAACAATTACTACTTGAACTAATTGATTAATCCTAACAATCTTGGTTCACTTGTAATCATGCCTAGGAAGGATCCACTAGTGTTATGTTAAACAACTATGGACCACTCTATTTGCCACTTATAGCAAACCCAGGGAAGGTTTACTTCCACCCATGATACATGGAACAATTCATGGAACCACCAATAGGCTAACATTAATCTTGCCAACTCAAAGTGTAACTTCAAATTGCTAATATGCCTCACTTATGAGCCCAAGCACAAACTTGTGTAAAATGATACACCTCAAATCTATCTTGCCAACTCAAAGTGTAACCTTGAGTTGCTAATGTGCCTCACTCATGAGCCCAAGCACAAACTCGTGCAAACGGAACATCTTATTCCATCTTATGAGCTTAAGAGCAAGCTCACATAATATGGTACAAAAGGTAACTAAATTCCATACCCAATGAATGAATGCGAAGTCTTAGCACCCAAATGTATACCCATTCGGATCATCGTTTTCATCTCTGCATATGCAATGAGACTAGTTGCCCAATCTTATTGGATAGTACTTATTGAAACTCATGCTCTAATACCAAATGTAGCACACATAGTTTTTACCCTTTATCTTATAGTAATTTACCATAGGATAACCATGAAACGGAACCTAAACCCTCTTTGTGCCATGTGCTACATGCCACGTGTCCAAGAACAATGGTGTGGAACCCAAGTTTCAAGGTCTTGGGCCACTAAATGAAGGAACAGTGCCAAACTCCCAAGCATAGAGCCAAGGAGTAATGGCATTGGAGCATGGAATGACTCTTGAGCATACAGCCTAAGGAGCGAAGGGACAGGTGCATAGAGTAACTTGGATCAGTCTTAGAGCAATCAACATCTCAATGCTAGGACTAGCATGCAAAATGGAGCCAAATGAAGTTTGGCACTATTTCAGCATACCAGTGGCCTAACGCAAGGATATAGGTACTCTATGAGCTTACCTTAACAACACTTTCCACTTGTGTCTAGGTCTTTGCCAAGACCAACACAATCGTTTCTCATGCTAACTACCAGTTAGCACTACACCATAAAGTTTGCACACAACTTTGAGCCAAAGTTGCTTTCTTCTAAAAACATCTTTTTTATGACTTTAGTATAGTGCCTTCTACCATTAATGACATACACATAGTTCTTATACTCGGATTTTATAATCCTCCCCATCCTTCATAGGGTATAATGCACTTCAGTCCAAATGCTTTTACCAGTCCCTTAGGACCATTCCTTGACTCCGTTCAAGTCATCCAGCTTTTTGGACTTGTTAATTTAACGACCCATAAAGTCCTAGCCTCTTGGCTATTTTTGAAGTGCCAGTTCACTAGAATACATTTTTTTGTATTCATGTTCTACTCACAAGGACTATCTCTACAATTGTTACTTTGACACTTGATTATTTTCCATTCCCTGTGGGCTACCTTTGCCCCTTACAACTATCTGTCCATGTGATGAAAATACTAACTCATCCTCTAAGTACACCCCTAACTCCTTGGGTTTGTTCCAGTATTTATAAAAGGTATCCCCGGCTACCATTTCAAGGCCTCATGTCCTCATCTGTATTTAACCTCCCACGGTCATTAATTTTGGTCTTAAATTCATGAACATCAGCCTCAACTATATAAGGATAATTTTGTGACTTTTTTATTGTTTTGAAGTCTTTATCTTTCCCATGATTCCAACTATAATTATTTACCACAACTATATTAGCCAATTTTCTAAGTTAAATGCTCATCTGGATCACATCCTCAACTCTCTAAGGAAAACCTTATACCATTCCCAAGATCCCAAAGTCATTCTCATATTAACCCTTTTCTATCTACCACCTTGTTTACAAGTTCACACATGAATTGTAGTGGAGAGCCATGTCCTCCCAACTTACTACTCCTTAACGATAGGCCCACTTCTAGGACCTTCCAATACCAACATAAATGATGATATATTTGACCACCAATAAGAGTCAGATTAAGGAACAGTTTTAATACCAAATTGTAAGTAACTAAATTTTCCATTCTACTTTAGTCACTTAACCACACCTCTGACCACTTGCAAGAGTTTCACTCATAACCTCCATAAATCCTATTCTGGACTTGAGGCTTGCTAGCCCCGAGAATGGCATCCATGCCACTCAACTTTTGCACTGCTTCACGTGTTTGATCCCATGACCGATACCCAAAGGTACCACTGACATATCAGCCTGTTACGCTAAGGCCATGCCCATTCACCTTTGTCACACTGGTGGTCCAACACCATCTGCATCACAGTTCTGTCTCTCAAAGACTGGGCCACCATGAGATCATCCTAGATCCACTCCTTAGCATCCTTAGGATGCCTACAGATATGGGGAATAGCATTCTTTAATATCCCTTTTACAGTCCCCACTAAGTCCCTTTTCTATCCATGGCTGTATTCGCCAACATTGCCACTGAGTCAAGGCCTATAAGCTTGACCACTAAACTTGACTATCCTCTGGGACTTCTTCACCACATAACCATATCCTTAGAGGATTGCTCCTCTTCCTTTTCACAGTCTGGGACTTTGGGACAATATTTCATAACATTGTGACCCTATGCAAGCCTCCTAGATACTCTTCCACCTTCTGCTTTTGGGTGCTATAGTCATGGGGCTAGAGTGAGATTCTGTTGAGCCATGCCAGGTATCCAAGTAGGTAGTGCCACCTGTGCTTGGGGAGCTAAAGCCGACTCTTGAACACTTCACCAAGCTACCCCACTTGTCAGTCACTTTGGACTCCTTAGTGGATATATCATCACCCAACACGTGGGCATAGCCTTCCTAGTCACACTAGCCTTTTTAGTCACACTAGCCTTTCCTGGCCACATTAGCTCCACTAAGTCTAACCCCCACACTCTCCTTACTATACTTTTGGAACCCCTGCAGCATCCCCCCCCCCTAGGGGGACGATCGCTTTGGGCTTTCACCCAACAATATGTATTAGTATTCGGACTTGACTTGAACTTGGTTTCAGTCTTGATTTCAAAATCGATCATGGTATTGATCTCAGTTCCATCTTAGACTCCATCTCAAGTCCATCTCGAACTCCATCTTAGGTCCATCTCAGACTCTTCCACGTATCATATATTAGTCCTCTTATGTCAATTTTTTAAAGACTCACCTATTGCTCACTTTGTGCTCTTTCCTTAAGCCCTTCGTTGGGAGTTCCACTCCTGCTCTTGACTTTTCAAGTTGGAGTTTTTTTAGTCCAATGTGTTACTCTTGTTTGGCTTTCGCTTCAACCACTACCACATGGCACCCTTTCGGCTCCAATTTTGGGGCTTTGGGATTTATGTCTCACAATATGCTTAGCAAGAAATATATAAGGTTCCTACCTTATATTTATCCAATTTAAGTGCATGGTCATTGACCAGTTTCTCAATTAGCTCAAGTGGGAACTGATAATGGGTCCAACAATACCGACTTCTTGCCGCCGTGGCAGTAAGGAAAGAATATCTAAAAGGACAAGCTAACAGGTAGCTTTTTACACTTGAAGTCACATTCGCGACATGTTTGTAGTGTTGACAAATCATAAGCATTTTGTGTATTTGTTCACACAAAAGAAGTTGAACACTAGGCAAGCTTACTAAATGGTCAAACTCAAGGAGCACTAGGCAAGCTCACTAAATACTACAATGGCCATGTGTATTTACCATGGGTGGATGCATTGATTAATGAGGTTATTTTTCACTATCATGATCATCTGGAGGCCAGTAATTTTGGGGGGAAGAAGATGTATGAGTTGATTAAGCACAATTTTTAATGAAGGAATATACTATTGTAAGTAATATTATCTTTATGAGTGGGTAAAGTGCCATAAGAGAAGCTAGGGGGACTTTTGCAATCTTTGCCTATTCCAAATGCATGCTTTGCCAATGAAACCAGAAGTTACAGGAGATGGTATGCTTGTGTACAAATACTGTAGAGACATGATGAGATAAATGTGATAAGAGAGATATGGAAAAATGATGCCACCTTATTCATACTGCTAATAGGTTTTAGTTCTCCCTTTCAATGGACTCTTGTCAGGTTATCATGTTTGCAATGACTTTTGTTCGTACAAAATGTATAATAGACAATCATATAGATCCAATCACACAGAAGGCTTTACATTATATATGAAGGTAACTCAATTAACATTTTTATTGCAAAGCTACAAACCTCCTCAGAAAAAAAGGGAGTAGCAATAGGCGAAAGTCAATAAAAAGAAATATCTTTACACATGTTCAAATTTATTTGTGCAAAAGAATTAGATTGAAAGTCCAGTCATTAACAGTCATATAAAAGTGAATCACGACTACCTTTTCCAACTGCAGCTGGCTACGATGCGCTTCCAATCTGTTTCCTGCCTTTCTTTCAAACGTGATCTTCATTGCCAGAGGATTTCTTTAAAACAAAACGAAAATGGACATCTAGTTTTTGGCTATCTGAGATTTGATCCTTGCAGTCAAACTTGGAATTCGAATTATGTGCTCCCGCACTGCACTTTCAACGGTGGCTATCACGCTCCTCCTCAAACTTTTCTTTGCAGTGGAGTATGCTTTTATGGATTCTTTCCTACAGACAGTAATAGCGACAGGATATTACACATTACACACTCAAACAGTTACCTGAAACCTGGCGACTTCACTTCTGATCACATTTTGTGCTGTTTGTGCTGGAATAGAACAATCTTCAATACATGCCTGAATGTCGGTCACTGTCTTGAATGTATCGACGCAATTGGCTGCGCACTTATAGAAACCTTTCTGTAGAAAAGGATAAGACAAGACGCCAATGTTCGCTGTAAATTAAACCTGTATGTTGAAGAAGATATGCATCTCTAATTCACCCATCGCATTGGTGAAAGCCTCGTTTAGTTCGCACTCCAGTCTTTCGGTCTCCATAGGCACAACCTAAAATCGCTATGCCTTAACAATCCTCTTATAAGCTGCAAGTGATGCTTCGAGAAACCATTTGTCATCGGGAAGAACACTAGACAAAAAGAAATGAGCAAATTTCCTAGAGAGACATCAATTTAGAAACCTCATTGGATCTTGACCATTCAATGCGAATGCATTACTTGCTAGGGCGATGTTGTCAGCAACCACCTTATACATGACATCTGAAGTGCAGCTTCTTTCAGTGGCGATCTCAATCACGAATTGCATGTCTAACACGAACTACAGAGGAGAAACAAATTATGTAAGTGGAAGAAGTGACCAAAATTACCTTTCTAAGTCCTATTGAACTAAATGTTTTTGGACCTTCTTCAACTTGGCTCCAGAAAGATTTGTTGTGCTGGATCGCAGTTACCACGTTGGTCAAAATATCTGTAATCAATAGAAGACAGACATGTTCTTGTCCCCGAAAAATATCTTCCCCTGCTTTAGCTAAGGCGACAACTTTAAAGAGGAGTTGCTGATTAAAGCATGTTAGAAAATGATAAGAAGAGCTAGCATACCTCGAAAGGTGACGATGGAAATGGGTTTTGTTGCCATTCTGGGTCTGCGGCTTCAGAATAAAGATCGGGAGTCAGGAGTTCTCGATCTTTATCGTACAGAATATCCTTTATAAGAATGTTGCATATAGTAGACTTCAACTTCTCACACGTGTGCTGCAGGTATAACTTCCACTCTTTCTGCTGCTCATCATCAATGGGACTGTTGAAACTCTCCTGACATTGAAGTAGTGAGCGAGAAACCTTGGGGAGTATATCCTCAGATAAAGCCGTTGCATTGCCGAAGACAACAAGTTTTTGTGACATTGTTTTTGCTAGTTTTATGTTTCCTTTCTGCAAGATCTGGCCGTCAGGCAGCAAAGCGTCTATCAGGAGATCCACATAGCGCTCATAGATCTTACACAAAGCTTCAAGGGCCGAGTGGGTCAGCTGAAATCTTGTCAAAGGTTTGACACCATGCAGAAAGTCCTGTAACCAGACTTCCAATCACCACAATCTTTGTTGGCTAAATTTCCATACCTCGATCAAAATGTTGAACGTGTGTGCACTGCTTGACAAGCGTACATAAATACCCTCTGCAGTGTGATAAGATGCTCTCCCACCCATTCTCTGATCATGGAGGGGCTGGATAAGGTTCCAGTCATCTGCTGCAGCCAATGCAATGACGTTGTCCCCAATTCGTACAACATTGGCTGAAACTGCTTCCTCTACAGATGGCTTGAGAAGACTCGAAAGGTAAGGACAGATTGCAAGTCCCTGAGTTTCAAGGAGAAAACAGTGTCCCAGAGCCATATGCACGCATTCGGCAGCTGCTCTGAGTCCCCCTGCCGCTGCTAGAGATGAGAGCACATACTTCTTTAGTAAAGTAACAAATTCTTGGGTTATATCTCGTGCCCATAAAACAAGCTCTGATCCGCAACTGAAGTTTCCATTAAACACAGCAGTGGAATCCTTTAAAGCCAAAGAAATAGCAGAAAATGCAAGCTGAGAAAGAGCTGCGGTGTAGGCACCGCCATATGAACTCTTGCTTCTGCATAAACCTTTGATATTGTACAGTAGCCTATTTCGGTGAGACACAAGCAGCAAGTCATGAGCTCTTGAGCCTTCACCAAGTTTCTGAAGGACTGAGCATGTATCACGTAGCTCAACGCCACAAACAGAAGCCTTCATAGTCGAGTCAGTTAGTTCTTCTGCTAGTCGTTCTTTTATTGATTTCAAGTTTAATGCAATTACGGCAGCTTCCGATTTCTGGGGTGCATTTTCATCAAAAAACACTCTCCCTTTCTGTAGCTCATCTAAAGCTTTATGTGTTTTCTTCTCAGCAAGTAAAATTTGGAGATTGTCCAGCAACTCTGGAAACTGTTGTCCCCACTTTGACGATTTAGTACCTTCTTCTTCCTGGAGAAACTGCGGATTGCTCACATCTTGTGCGCATAACTCAGCTGATATTTGAGGTTGTTGCAACAAACAATGAATTATCGCGGCTTGATTAGAAAGTAGATTTCGCACCCTAAAAAGTGATGTCTCCAGCCATGATATGTCCCGAGTCGCTCTGTACGACTCAAATGTTAAAGAAGTTAAGGTAAATCAAGGCATTTAGTAACCTTATGAAGTAAGTATAATCTCTATGTACATTACTTCTCGAAAATTCTGTACATGTAATTTTTAGATCAATGAGTTCTTGCCGCAGCTTTTTCACTCCCTTCACATAAAACACGAACTTGGCATTGGAATATTTTTAATTAAACTACTGAAAACCTTTTCACTCATAAGTGGACACTTCGATCGGATGTACTGGTCAATATCAAAAGAGTCTCTTTCCAAAAGTCGTAAGTCATTTGCTAGAGCTTCATCCGCTCCCATGGATCGACAAAGAACCATGGCTATGCTATGTTGGCAAACAGAAAAACAGGAAGACACGTCGTCCCTCAAGACATGTCATGCTGACTAGGATTTCCCATCGGATACAAAGCATCTTCTACGATGGGATGCAGACGGCCATAACCCGTGTATGATTTTAGGGAAGAGACTGTACACATAAAGATGCAGGCAACTCGAGTTGTTCTGCAGGAACCCCTACGCTTGGCAAAAATCCTTGATCCCTCAGAGCAGGTGCCTAGAATATTTTAGATTCTTTTCAGCTCAGTTCCATTTCTGTTACAGGTTGGACATGGAAATTATCTCTCAATGTCAAAGATTATTGGGACACTCGGGCCAAAGTCGCGTGCAGTGGAGACAATTGAGGGCATGCTGAAAGCCGGAATGACAGGTAGTTTGAAAGAACCATCATTGCCTCCGGTGAATTGTTTGCAGTCGCGCGAATTGATTTTTCATATGGAACACCGGAATATCATCAAGAAACAATGGAATTCTTGAAGCAGGCTGTTCGCAATACCCGAACCCTTTGTGGTGTACGTTTCTGTTTCCAGGTAGCCGATTAGTTTTAATGCCCTCGAGAGTTGAACAGGTTATGATGGATACACTTGGGCCAGAGCTCCAGATTATAAACAAGAGTGAAACTCCAATTGCTATTGATGTAGATGCCTTTGTCACCTTGACACCAGATCAAAGTAAAGAAGCATCTTCGAAGTACCTGCCAATAAACTTTCCAAACCTTGCTAACGTAAGCTTATTTTAGCTTTATTTTTCCCTTACATAAATAACTTGTGCAGGTAGTGAAACCAAAAGACACAATCTTTGTTGGGCAATACCTTTTTACAGGAAGTGAAAGCACCTCAATATGGCTTGAGGTCAGACTCATTTCTCCTCGAAACTATTTCTACATCAAATTTTCAGGTGAATGAAGTGAAGGGCAATGAAATCGTGTGTCGAGCTAAAAACGCTGCTACCTTAGCCGGGCCACTTTTCACCGCACTGGCTTCTTCAGTGCGCATTGATTTACCAACACTAAGTGAAAATGACAAGAAGGTGTGTGCGTCTTCATTTTGCCAGTGAGGTTGAGATTTGCTGTTCAGGTCATTGCTTCGTGGGGTAAAGCAAATAGGATTGACTTCCTGTCTTTATCGTATTGCCGACATGCAGAAGACGTGAAACAGGTATATGAGTATTACCCATGAAACCTTTCAACCCTCGTTTGCAGGCTCGGGCACTTCTTACATCACTAGAGCTTACCAACACACAAATTTTTGCGAAGATTGAAAATGCCGAGGTTTGCTCAGGTCAGATTCTCTGAAGTTAAGACTAAATTTGAAACTTAATAATGTTGTAGGGTCTTAAGCACTTTGATGATATACTCAAGGAAGCGGATGGGATTATCCTTTCTCGGGGGAACCTTGGAATTGATCTTCCGTCCGAAAAGGTACAGTAATTCTCAAATTTTTATTGACACATACTGTTTTACAGGTGTTTCTCTTCCAAAAAGCTGCTTTATACAAATGTAATATGCTTGGAAAGCCAGCAGTAATCACGCGTGTTGTTGACACAATGACTGAAAACCCCAGGCCGACGCGTGCAGAGGCTACAGATGTTGCTAATGCTGTCCTTGATGGTAAAAGACGTCGGGTCGTTGATGTCTCAGCTATCCTGTTTCCATTCTAGGGAGCGACGCTATTTTGCTAGGAGCGGAGACATACAGGGGAAATTTCCCTATCCAGTCCATTGGAACAGTTCGCCGAATCTGCAGGGAGGCAAGTCCTACTTCTAAATAATAATCACGAGACTAGGATCATTTTCATGTAGGCGGAAATTGTGTACAATCAAAGGTTTTATTTCAAGAAAGTCCTTGAATATGTTGGTGAACCAATGGGACATCTTGAATCTATTGCTTCCGCAGCAGTAAGTAACTTTAAGTACTTTAAGAAGCGATATAACGTTAAGAAGTACCAGGTGCGATCGGCTACTAAGGTCGGTGCGTCAATGATAATTGTATTTACATCTGCAGGCCAAGCTGCAAGGCATACCTTTAACTGATTCCCCTTTGAAATTTCTAATGCGGCTAATGCAGGTTGATAGCTAAATATCGACCTTTGATGCCTGTTATGGTGGTTGTCATTCCACAAATCAGTACCAATTTTATGCGATTTAGTTTCAGTGGGACGTTTACGGTACAGTTGTTCTGAAAACGAGCATATCTGACTTCAATCAAATTTACAGACAACTCCTCCTACTGCAACACAAGAAGCAGTTCTAAACAGTAAGATCATGCTGGTATGTGTGTATCATCGAATTGTGTGTGTGTCCCTCGTTCACTCTTTTACATTTTCTGTAGGCAAGACAATGCCTGATTGTCCGGGGATTATTTCCGATACTTGCGGATCCTCAGGTAAGAACTTTTTCCTGATATTGTGTTTAGGCCAGCTCGTTTTGCAGGTAAGCACAAGCAATGCTGCAAATGAGCTCGTCTTGAAAATGGCTATTGAGCATGGAAAAATGGCTGGTTGCATCAAGGCTAACGATCGTGTGGTTGTATGCCAAAAGATTGGTGACTCATCTGTGGTCAGGATCGTAGATATGGCGGCATAGAAACCTTCCTGTGCTAACTATACAATCTCAAAGATCTTTTTAATAAGCTCAATTTAGGGCAACTAGCCGAATGGTGTCAAGGGACCAAGGGACACAACCCTCGTCCAAGATGGCATCACCTTTCCTCACTTTTGAGCAAACATTGTGGCCAGTGCGTCAATGGCCAGCACAACAAATGCCAGCAGCAGCAATGCAAGAAATAACAGTATGGTATGCTGCTCGTCTTCTTCAGGCCTACCGCAGCCGATCACTACGCCACGGAGATGGGGAAGCCTACCACCTTATATGGATTGGAGGCTTTGGGGAAACCTTCCAGATGATCTAGTGGAGAGGGTCCTTGCTTGGCTCCCCATACCTTCTTTCTTCCGCTTACGGTCCGTTTCCAGGCGATGGCGGTCAATCATGTATTCAAAAGGCTTCATGGAAATGTGTGCCGACGTGCCACCGAAGGGTTTGTTCTTCCTAAAAGTTGCCAGGTGCCGATGTAGAATGCTAGCTGCATACTACCCCTCTGGGAACAAGTGGTTGAATATCCCGATTGGTTTTTTGCCCTCTCAAGTCAGCGTTCCTGCAGCTTCTTCCAAAGGACTTATGTGTTTTATAGCTACTCAGTATACTGATGGATATAGCGTTCTACTCGTTTGCAATCCATTAACCAGGTGCTGGAAGGCACTACCACCTATGACAACGCGTAGGTACCCTTTTGTGGTAGCCCTGGTCACTGACAGGAAGCTAAGTGCTTACAAAGTTATTGTTGCGGGAGACTATAATTCCTTCGATAATAGGCGGACCACGGAGGTTTATGACTCTGTTACCTCGACATGGAAACAATCTGGCCCTCTTCCACGAGAAGAGGAGATTACAAAAAACATAGTCGCCTGCAATGGTTATTTATTTTGCTTAAGCCGAGGACCTGGGAATGGCTTGCTAGCGTACAGCTTGCAGCAGGAAATCTGGATTAAAGTTCGAACAGGAAGAATGCCAGGATACTCTAAGTTTCGGCATCTGGTCGAGTGCAATGGAAGAATCATTATTGTCGGAAAGGCGTTAAGAAGGCAGGTCCTCGGACTTTATATATGGCACCTGGACCCGCCCACAATGAAGTGGAAGGAGCTGGCAAAAATGCCCCAGCCACTTTCCGAACAATTTTTTCGGACGCAGTCGGAGTGCTTCTTTTGCAGCGCCCTTGGAGACCAGATATTCATCAGCAGATTTTTCTGTGACATAGGACTATTATACAATATCAGTCATGACACATGGCAATGGATCCCGGATTGCCCCAAGATAGCGAATCCATTCATTCTCACCCTGGAACCAGGTTTCGATGCAGTTTACTAAATCAATGAAATTTATGACTCTGTTCGGTTCCAAACTTTACGCAATAAACGGTATCTTTGGGCAAATGCATCTTTGCCTGACAAGTAAGCAGCCTCCTTCCCGTCAATACAACCATTCTCGACCAACAAAAAGAGAGGTGATTCAAGTTCCTCGAGTTCCTCGTCACTTGTATGTCCCTTGCGAAACAGGGACGCGCTCCTGGTCTGTGTGGAAGAGGCCATCATTTTCATATCGACAATGTCACCCATGCATGCAGAAGATGGTGGGAAGTATACAACCGGAGGAGCTGATGCCATGATTATTGTCCCGGGGCTGATGTCCGATTCGCCAACTCTTTGCCTCTCCATAGAGATCTTTGGTCATGCATGAAAAAAACGAAAAGTGAACCTCCAAAGCTTAGCAATTTCCCCTACCTCGGCATTGAGAGCTGCCAGAAGGGAAGGTGGAATCGGATCAGGTGCATACTCGTCTGGAGCGAACTTAGAAAGAACCCTTCTGATCAAAAGCAAGCTTAATGCAGGGCAGACCTATGGTACATTGTTAATCGAAGCACTTAATAGAAATTTAAGGGTTACCTCCTTTCTTATTGATTTTTCCATTAGCATGTCCTTTGGTAGCATCAACAGGTCGCTCATGGCCCGCAACATTGTAAAGTGAGATGTTCCTTTCTCTATGTTTGCTGCAGCAGCTGCCTCTTCACCAACGTGAGCAGTCAGCGCCAAAAGCCATGTAGACCATGTATTTATCTGCAACGCAATCACATGAATTGCCACGAAACCCCTAACATGACCGCACCACATTCTTCAGCTGAGCACCTCCTCCGAAGCTGATACCATCAGGTGGTATAGGAAGAACACTGAGGTCTGTAATGGGATCAGAGATGGGATCTGTGGGAACGTTTTCTTCCATATCCCGCAATATGGCATTGAACATTGCAACATCCAACCGTGCAACGCACTGCTCAACAATCTGCATTGAGTTTTGAAACAATTGTCAAATCAGTGAAGAGGGAAGGGGGTCTTACCATTCTTTCTACAACCTGTAAACACCCGCAGTCGTGG